CCCTTTCGTGCGACTGAAAATTAGGGTTTTTGTGTTTCACAATTTCTAGGGTTTTAATGTATTTTTGTTTTGACTTGAAACGCAGGGTTTACGACGGAGAAGTGACGCAATCTTTAAACTTGTCTAGCGATCTTGCACAAGTTGTCGAGGACAACGATGAATCGAAGTTGCCAAGGAGAAGACTAAACAAAAATTGGATTTCTGTTCCTAATTTAGTAGACGAAGACGAAGAACAAGTTCTTGATGATGGTATTGTGGAACAACCTACGGCTAATTTGAATGACAAAGTAGAGAAGAAGAGACAGAGGAAGAGAGATGAGTCTGGTCTTGAGAAATCGAAGAAGAAGCAAAAGTCGGATAATTCGACAGAGATTAAAGAGATGTGGGATTCAATTACGAACGACTCCAAGGTTTGTTGTCTGAATCGTTTGTTCCTTTGTTCTGTTTTTCTCTGAGATCGTAAGTTCGATTCTCATTGTCTTTATTGTTTAAGTACAGGATGATGATGGTGATAAGGTCAAAGAGAATCGTCCTAAGAAATATGAAGAGATAGATAAACTGTTTAGGATGGGGAGAAAGAAGAGCAAAAAGGAGAAAGACGAGTCTGAGATTGCGATGCAAGTAGAAAAAGTGATGGCGACTCTTGAAATCGCGGTGGAAGACGATGTAGAGCTCAACAAAAAAGGAAAACCCGCCATTACTAAGCTCATGAAGTTACCTCTTCTCAATGAATCTCTCTCAAAGAAACAACTTCAAGCTACGTTTTTAGATCATGGAGTACTTAACCTTCTCAAGAACTGGCTCGAGCCGCTTCCTGATGGTAGCTTACCGAATATAAACATCCGCGCAGCTGTCTTGACGATTCTCAACGATGTATGAAATTTTTATCTTTCTCAAATCCATAATAAGCTACTCAAATCTTTAAAAGAAAGATCTCACCTTTGTGTTTTCTTCTTTGTTGCAGCTACGTATCGATTTAGATCAAAACTGTAGAAGAGAACAGTTGAGCAAGAGCGGTCTCGGGACGGTCTTAATGTTCTTATCAAAATCAGACGAAGAAACTACACCGAATAAGAGACTCGCTAATGAATTAGTGAACAAATGGGTATGCCTACATAGATCTATATGATTGTATAATCTGTTGTTATTAACCTCTGTTTATTGATTCTATTCCCTCTTTTTTTGCAGAGCCGTATCATTTATAATAAGAGCACAAGTTATGAGAACATGTATACTGAGGAGGAACAAGAAGAGAATCAGCAAATTCTTTTGAAAAGACAGAACAAGACAGCTCCTAAGGTGTCTGAAACAAAAGCTAGAGACTTTGATATAGATGTTGACTTTGCTAGGTAAGTTTCTCTTTTGTGTTATATTAACTTGCTTTGGTACCATCTAATCTTTAAAACAATTTGTGTTCTGAAAAGTCTGTAACGATCTTTGGAAAACAAATGTAGGAAACGACAATCGAAGCTAGCAGCTAGTAAAGAAGTTGGAAGAGCGAGTGTACCACAAGCAATGTCGATGGACTTTACGATACGTCCTCAAAAGGAGAAAATTGACAAAAAACTCGAAGCTCTAGTCAAGTTTCAAATGGACACTAGCAGCATCCATGGAAATGTAAGTGTCCTGCATTAAACAGATAGGATCATCTTTACTTGCATTGTATCATATGATGGTTCTGAAAACTAAGAGAAAATATGATACCTTTGTGACAGATTATCGACAAACTGAAGAAGAACAAGGCGCTCAGGAGGCAAAGCCTGCAAGTAATGAAGGTTAGTGCAACACGGGCGCACTATGGTTAAGTATTTGTAGACATCATTACAAGAGATGGATGGTTCAGGCACATCAATTGCAAATCCATGGCGACATTCAACAAGCATTGTGTCTACTGTCTAGTGCTTAGATTATATAGAGCGATTATCATTCTACTAAATGGATTAAGTGTGATTAGAGAATTTTAAATGTTATCAATACAAGAAAAGTTTTCTCCATTTTTTTCCCTCTTAGGTTCATAAGATTTTTCCAACAGAAAGTATTACCGAAAGACGTTTTACAAAGTAGCAATCAGACAGAGAACTTGACGCCTTCGTCATCTGCTGATGTTCCTTTGAACAATGCAAGCTTGCCCTTGTTCTCTAGTAGCTTTAAGGCCCTCATTAGAATCGTTCGATCAATCCCTTGAAGTTCTAAAATAGCAAAGAAAACATTTGCATTGGGTTTCTCATTGTGCGAAACAAAACAAAATCATATATATAAGGGACGAATACCTGTTCCGTGTGATTCTGTCCCGGAACGTATTTCTTCAACAGTCATAACACTGTCCTCTAATCCATTATCTCGCACCTGATAGATAACAGACGATGCATGACATAGATCAGAGAAAGGTGCACAAGCGAAAACTCGACTTTTAAAATCTATCAATTCACATGTGACTCACAAACTGAAGAATAATGTCTGCCCAATCTTGAATCCGATGCCACAGAATCAGACATTTCCTATGCCCTTTATCTAACCACTCCGCACGCCCTGTCAATACGTAAAAAAAACAACANATTTGTGTAAACATCAAACGNAACCATGAGATNAAAGNAACNTCATTCTATCACCAGNACATGATTTCACANANCCAAGGATCAAAAAGGAACAAACTAGAGCTTGATTGTCTCGGAATCTAACCTTCTCCAACAATCGCTGAGAGGAACGTTTCCCTTGCTTCATGACTTAAAGATCCTACAAAACCAAATGAGACTAACCCTTTAACGTACTTGAAAACATAGATAGCCGCAATCTAAGATCTTAACCAGTAGTGATTACTGAAAAATTATTCAGCCTAAGGCAAAAAAACCAAAATTTAATCGAATGTAATCAGGTGAAAAAGACACTATGGATCATACTATCAATAGCAGAGTTTGAGAAGAGAGGAAAATCTTCTTCAACACCAATCAAGAAAACTTTGTGAGTTTTGCAGTAATCCAAAATAAGCTCTTTCCATAATTGTATCTGCTTCTCACGAGTATCTCTCACAGGCGCAAACTGAAAACAAAAAGAAACAGACTTTTACTTCAATCTATATACAATCTTCAAGACATTATTATGAAAACTTGAAGAAGAGATTGGTTACGTGAAGTATGGAGGATAATTGAAGAACTGAGGAAGCTTAAAATCACCAAACTTCTGCATCTTTTTTGGCTGCTCAAATCTATTCACAAAATCAACAAGAATCTCGAAGATTTAACAAGTTTTTGTAGAAGAATCCAATCAGATCTGGATTATGTCAAATTCAACAACACATACAGAGAATTCCCTAAAAATCGATTCCACAGAAGACAAAAACCATAGAGAGCAAGCGAGCTTACGAATCCGACAGAGATGGTAAACTGAGTTTAAGACTTCGTTGCTCTGTTTCAAAATCTCAGAATCGATGTCCGAAACTTTGATTGGAGAAGACGATGATGATAATTGGAGTTCTTTTCTTATGCGTTTGACTAATGTTAAAACCGAATTTCGGTTCGGTTGTAGATTTTCCGGTTTATTAATAATATTAACTTCAATTTCAGATCGGTTTTGGTTGTTTTTCAATTTGGTTTGGAACAAAGCTCAAAAAGTAACTCTTATAAACTGAAAGAAAAACTTGCATATATAATCCGGAGAGAAATGTTACAAATCTGTAGCTTTTAAAAGGATGAAGAAGGCAAAAAAGGAAGACGAAACAAAGGGATTTTAAGCTGCAACGAGATCAGGTGTCTCGGCCTCGACAGATAACAATGTAGTGTGAACCTTATCGACCCAACTGTCTAGCTGATCCCTCAATGACTTGATCTGCGGAATCCCAAGAACCCTCGGTTGCGCCCATGAGACATGTACCGTCCCATCCACCTGATCTATTATTCCTTCTATCAAGTGCACCTGCATCATCAGACCCATTACAGAATCACTACACAAAAATCTTCCGTAAAAAGTATTTGATATAATGGGACCGAGAGAGAAAGGAAAGATACTTACGGATAAGCTTTTCATGAGGAGGTGCTCAACATCTCCGATTGAAAGTTTAGTACGTTCGGCAATGATACTCAAAGGTATGGTCCTATCTTCNGCAGGTCGGCTATGGAAGAATGCAGATGGTTATAAACAATACGAATATGAATGCGCGTGTAAGATGTTTGCATAGAGAGACGATAAATACCTGAAGATGATTTCGATAAGGCAGAGGATGTTGATCTTCTCTAATAGTTTCTTCTCGTTCTCAACCAGTGCCGGTTGGGCGCTCAAGGATGCGTTGTGCACACGGCAGAGTTCTTGATACTGAACTAAATCGCCGTGGTTGAATGCCTGTAGAATGTGGTAAAGCCATTCCACATTTGTTCCAAGCAGACTTTTCAACTGCCCATAACAGAAACATAACATGTAAGTGAACAGTGTGGCCAATGAACAGATTCGTGGTACTCTAAATTTGAAGAAGGAAAGGTAAAACTTACAATTGGATGGGCTAACAGTTCCCCAAAGTTATAGATATTATCCCCGAGTAGAGCTGAAAGCGACAGATCAAAAGCCAAGTCCTGGAAGACCCAAAAGTATCCGATATTAGGCACTATGATCGGTGAATAGAAAGCAAATTCCCGAGATAAAGTTTTTTCCTTTCAATAGCTAACTAACGCTTATCCAAACATTAGAACAGGATTTTAGCAAAATCAGAAGAACGCACCAGCTTAAACGATTCCGAGAGTGACTCCACAGATGTATAAGCGAGGTAAAGAAGAGCACTTTTATAGAAATCCGAAAACTCTTGACGGAATTTATGGTACTGAGAAGACACCCAAAAGAAGTTGGCATAGACTGAAGGATCAATGTCAGTCATACTATCAAGAGAGCTTTTCACATCGTCCAAGATCTTCTTGCACTCCTTCTGGTCACCATGCTCAAGCTTGAACAAAGCTATTTGTGTTTCAATATAGCTAATCGGCTCGTTTATCCGTGACTCTTTAGTAGCTCTAAGCTTTTCAATCACTCCTTGAAGATAACTAACCGCAGCTTCTTTCTCAGGGTACTGTCGTGACACTACAACCGCGAAATGCGCAAGCTTGAGAAGATTGATCTTCGTCTCAAAATCAGTTATGAAATTGTTGTAAAACTGAATTAAACCATCTCCAGCCTGAAAATGATTATCAAACATAACAAATCCATAAAACCCTTAACACAATTCATGGGTTTTAGTAAACAAACCTAAGATTCAAACCAGAACATAGCAAATTAGCAACACAACCAAAATCCCTTAAACCTCGTAAAGTCGGGTTTTTTCGATATCTCTATGCTTAAATAAACAACCTTTGATCACAGAAGTTGCGATAATTCACCAAAACAAAGCTTTTCAGTGAATCTGAAATATACCCAACTCATAAATCCTTTAGATCTCTATAAACCCAAGTATAAAATTGACGACTCCTACCAATTGTTTTAAGATCTATGAACCCTAATTTCCCAGAACAACTAGCAAAAGATAAGAATTTCTGATAGATTATGGGAAGTGAATTGACCTGGAAGACGGAGAGAGCGATGAATTGCTCGAGCTTGAGGGTAAGTTGATGCCATAGCTTCTTCTGGTACAGATCTGCGAGTGAATTGAACCACTCGGCAAGCTCTGGATGCGCATTTTTCTGCGATTCAAGGTACTGTAGAGCAGCCATGGCAGATTTTTCCTTGTCGAGAGGATGAAAAAGCTTCGATCTTCTATCGGTTTGGGAGTAAGAAATTTCCGGAAAAAACCCTGCCTTTTAGTAAACTATTTTTCTTGTGCTCAAAGACAAGTATCGGGTGAAAAAAGCAAAATTATAGATTAAAAGGGCTTTTATGTAAAATTTACATTTCAGGGCTCAGAACGAATTCTTGTGCTTTATTCACCATCAAAGAATCAAAGAACAGCTTTTGAAGTTACAAAACCAATGTGAAGAGTTGAATTTAATTGAATGCTATATTAGTGGTTCTCTCTTGTGTGTTATTTCTTACTACCAAAGAATTGAAGAAATAATTTGGAAGAATCATAGTCTTGAAGTAACACAGTTTGTTAGAATTCTCTTTAGTTCCTTTCTCAATATCTTCCCAGCTGGAGATTTTGGTATAGAGCTAACCATCACCACTTTCCTCACCTTCCTGTACGGCGCAACCTAGCAACCGAAATACATTCATCAGTCCATCGATCATTAGTAGTCGGTAAATGTATAAAATATGTTCTGTTTCGAAATGGGAGAAGCCTTTTTGAATGAGTGGGAACCAAACCTGAGCAGCTACATAGCTTATGACATCTTGTTCCGAAAGTGTTGTTCCTTGTCTCCGGACAACAAATGCTACTGGAATCTCTCCACATTCTTCATTTGGGGCACTGAAATTTTAAGTCTTTTATGTCACAACATAATTCACATATTTGGATACTTTTCAGTAGAATAACAGAGTCACATTGTCTAAAACCAGATTTGGAGATCAAGATTTGTTTTTCCGAACTTACGCTGTTACTGCAGCGTCGATAATCAAGGGGTGTGAAACAAGAACAGCCTCCAAGTCTGCTGGTGCGATCTGAAATCATAATTGCAAAGACTTTAACATTTCTTATTTTATAGTTGGCTCGAAGAAAAGAAGAATTGTAGTTGGTTTTGGTTTTTGATAAAACTGTCTTTTTACCTGAAAACCTTTGTACTTTATAATCTCCTTTATACGGTCAACAATAAACAAGTACCCATCTTCATCAAAATAAGCAATATCACCAGTACGTAGCCAAGTATGTTCAACAATTGTCATCTGGGTTGCTTTTGGGTTATTCAAGTAACCTAACAGACAAATGAACAGTGTTTTAGGTTATCTCCGAGTAAAATTAAAAAGCTTTCGATGAAACACACCAACAAGAATAAGAAAATTAGCCTAATGTATTAACCAGATGATCAATTTAGCGCAAGAAAGTTGGAAGATCCGATATATATTTGAGAATGCGAGTATTTCTCAATGAACTATACCATTGACCAGAAGACTTAATTATGAGTTGAGACCAAGATTTTTAACTATTTTGGAAAGAATATACCTACCTTTCATGACTCCAGGACCTTGTATCCAGAGCTCTCCTCGGTTTCCTGGTGGAAGGAAAGAACCAGAGCTCCAATCTACTACCTTGGCTTGCATATTTGGAGCAAGAAGTCCCACCGAAGAATACTTCCTAAGCTTTTGAGAGTTGAAGCCTCGTGTTCCAACTGCGGTTGATTCAGTCATGCCATATCCCTGCAACAACAACAAAAAAGTGATTCCACATATAAACACTTTAAGCTCAGAGAAAACGGCTCATAAAAAGACTTCCAACAATAGAATACAGAGACCTGAATCAAATCGACATGAGGAAGCGTTTGAAGAAAATCTTCAATTAATTTCCTGCTTAAAGGAGCTGCTCCAGAAGAAACCTGCTTTAAGCTTCTAAACACATCTCCACAAACTCCTTTTGCCTTCTTTGTCAATGCCATCAACATAGGTGGAACAACCGGGAAATGAGTAATCTTAAACCTTTCGATTACATTAACAACATCAGAAGCATCAAACCTCCTCATAACAACAATAGTTGATCCAACAGACAACAATCCCATCACAAATAGCGATAACCCGTAGATATGACACAACGGTAAAGCCGCTAGATAAACATTACTCGAGCCAGGATATTCGTACTGCGAAGCTTCAAACCTCACAAAAAGCTCCATTGTTGCTATCAAATTCCTATGAGTTAACAAAACTCCTTTACTACCTCCTGTTGTCCCAGATGAATACATAATCGCAGCTACATAGTCTTGCTTAATCAACGGTTTAGGCACAAACTCATAACCTCCTTTGATAATCGAGTAAAACCTCGGGTTTTCGATTCGAATCGAATCAAAATCGTAACTTTCAGGTACCCTAATCACCACAATCCCCAAAGAAGTCAATTTCTCAACGTTATCAGAACAAGTAAACGCTAAACCAACACTACACTCACTAACTTGCTTCTTGATTTCACCTAAACTACTCGAAGGATTCATGGTTGTAACAATGGCACCAAGTGAGATCAACGAGAGGAAAATCAACGGAAAGTAGGCTGAATTAGGCAACACGAGTGAAACAACGTCACCTTGACGAATACCCAAATCGTGATAAATCCTACCCGCCATGGATTTGACTAAAACCTTGAGCTCAATGTGAGAAATCGAAAACCCGGTTAAGGAATCGACGATTGCTGTGTGGCCGTCGTGTCTGTGAGAGAAAAGGGCGGAGACGGCGTCGAGATTTGGATCGACGGGGAGGTGTAAGGAGGGGAATTTACTGGTGTAGATTCCGGTCTCAGGAGAGAACCAGAGAGGAAGGTTTTTGTGAGATGGTGTTGGGGTTTTAGCATTTTGGGAGATGTGAAGTTGGTGAGTCGCCGCCATTAGAGAGAGAATGTATCACGCCGGAGCTCGCGGCGGAGGAGAGAGAGAGAGCTAATCAAGCTTTAGTTTTGATCGGGAAATAGACGGACGACGGAATCGGCGACGATTCCATTAAAAAAAATCTAAAATTTAAATAATTATAAACGTGATTGTAATTGCAATATCGTAGTGAAAGTGAGTGATACTGTGTGGAATGGTAATATAATTGGGAAAAAATTGATAATTAAGAAAACAATTTAAAA